GTGTGTGTGTGTGTGTGTGTGTGTAGTTTGTGCGCATGTGCGTGCATGTGCATGACTCACAGGTGAGTCTCCTGACGGAAGGCACTGGTAGGGATGGAGAGAACAACCTTGTATCCCTGGGATGCAGACAGATACCGAGGTGACCAAGCAGCATTAAGGTGTCCTGGGTGTAAGGGCTGATCAGAAAGGCCTCCTCTTCTGGTGGCTAGGGTGTGGCAGGGCTCCCACTCATGGAAGGAAGAATTAGAAGCTGCACTGAGAAAGGTAATGGGGAATTGTCCCTGACCTGGGACAGGCAGTGTCCAGTGGTTCCCCCTCCCCCATCCCCACCCAGGCACTGGAAACTCCTTGAAGATGGGGCCTTGTGCCCTCGTCTCTTGTCTCCAAGAAGGGGTGAGTGCAGGGAGGGCTGAACAGGGCTGCTTCTCTGGGCCTTGGCTGTGCTGCATGTTCGGTCTTATCTTGCTTCAAAGTTCCGCACTTCGGGGGCTGAGTGCCTTCTGTCTAAAACACAGAAGGAGACTGAGGCTGAGAGAGGGGTATTTTGTTCACGGTCACATGGGTGCTCTTGAAGCTCCTGGCTCAATGTGCCAAAAACCAGTGAAAATATCTTGTGTGTCTGTCCTGTGTCTAGCCTTTGTGGAAGCTGAGGACCCAGAGATAATGGGGATGCTGTCCCTGACCACTAGCTGTTCATATAGGCAGGGCAGAGGCATGAGATGGACACTCAGGCACATCACACAGCAAAAAGGAAGGTGGGTGCAGGCCCACAGTGGCTCAGGGTATTTTTGGGGACGAGAGAAGTCAGGGACCATTTCACAGAGGAACCTTGTCATCTGAGCAAGGTTTTAAAGGGTGCGTAGGAGTTGACCGTGTGCACATCTAGGGTGTGTGGGTGATCTTGGGTTTCAGTCTGTCTGGACCTGGTGTGAGGGATGGGGGTCTTAGACCCAGCTTCCAGTGGTGTGAGGCTGCCCTGCGGGCATTTAAGGGACTTGGTGTTTTTGAGTATGGTGGGCTAGGCTCTGCCAGGGGTTTTACAGACATGATCCTTGCAATCTGGGAGGTGAGTGTGGATAGTTTCTTGATTTTGCAGATGAGGCACTTGAGTGCTGATTTTTTTGGCTCATGGAGATTTTGCTTTGGTTTTCTCCTCTCACCCCAGGGTCAGTCCCTGGCACCCATCTGCGTTTGCCCAGCTATGTCCTGTAGCACCCTCATATCCACCCCTGCCCTCCTGCCCGCCGTTCTCATCCTCTCTCCATCCTCGGTGACCTGTGGGGGCCTTGAGAGGTTTGACTATTGTCTGTGATGTGCCTCATCTCTTCAGTCTCCCCCGTCTGATCTCTGCCCTGGCTACCACAGCCCCATGTGCTTCCCTCTGTCTCCGACTGGGATGCTGCTCCAGCAGAGATTCCCAAGGCCGGCAGAGAGAGATGGCCAGTGCCCAGTGAGAGCACTGGCTTCCTAGGTTGGGCCAGGGAAGATGTAGCAAGGCAGTGACCACCTTGCAAAGTCTGGTCAAGGTGGGTAAGGTGTTGGCTTGGGCCCTGGGTGGGCAAAGTTGGCATTCCAGGAAGTGTGGCCCACCTTGGTACCTTCAAAGGGAAGATGTGCCAGAGGACATGGTGCGTGGTGATCCGCTGGCCTTGGGCAGCTGCTGGGCTGGCCTCCTGTCCTAGGGCTCCCTGTCCTTCTTGCCTCTTTATTTTTCCTCCCCTGCTATGATATCTTTCTCCCTCTCAGTGAGCTCTGGGGTTGGAGGAAGCATGGCCATGGGAGGGAGGGAAGTATCGGAGAACCTGCTGGCTCTCTGGTCAGGGCTTCCTGTCGGCCTCCTGATGCAGTTCCTGCCTTTTCCCAAATCCTTCCTCTCTCCTGGCCTTGGGTCTCCCTCTTTGCCCTAACCTTCCCACCTTACCTCTGGCCTCTGCTTCTTCTCCCAGACGTAGCCAAAGAGGAACAACTGTGAATGACCGGGGTAGGGGTGGGGGGAGTTGGCCTCTGAGGTTTCCAGCTGAAGTAGAGCATGTGGTCGTGTGTATGTGTGAATGTATAGGTGTGAGAGTGTGTGTGTGACCGTAAGGACAAGGGTGGGCCGGCATTGCCTGTGGGTTATGAAGGAGGAAGCAGTGTGGCTGGAGCAGGTCACTCCTAACAGTCCGTTCAGATTGGGCGCTGATTCCAAGTGACCTCAGACTCGACCTGGCCACCTCTGCCTGGGATGCTTACCTGCCAGCTCAGGGCTCTCTGTGCTCCCTGTGGTGGTCATGGCCCTTGAGCCCAGGCAGTGGACTCATGTGGAGACGTGGGGCTGCCCTGCTCCGGCTCAGCTCCCTTGCCAGCTGCCAGGTTGGGGTGGAGCTCCCAGGGAGGAAGTGTGTGATGAGCAACACCTGGCCACTCACTCTGTTTCTGAAGCCTCCCTCCTGGTGTGATCCCTCCAGCAAGCCTGTCCGAGGCTCTTGGCTGATGGTGGAGCCTGGATGGAGGGTGGGGAGGCTGTAAGGCCCAAGGGACTGTCTTCCTATCTTCATCCATTCTGTGTTGCTATAACAGAAAACTCCAGCTGGATGATTTATAAAGAGAATGTCTTAGTCAGCTTTCCATTATCCTAAGAAATATCTGAGATAATCTACTTAAAAAAGAGGAAAGTTTTATTTTGGGTCATAGTTTTGAAGATTTCAAGCTGTGGTCACTTGACCTGTTGCTTTTGTGTCTACAGCAAGATGGCACATCATGGTGGTGTAGCAGTCTGCTGGACTTGTGGCAGCAGGGAGGCAAAGAGAGAGAACAGGAGGGGCCAGGGTCCCAATACCCCTTTCAAGGGCAGTGACTTCCAACTAGGCCCCACCTTGTAAAAGTTCCACTGCCTCCCAACAGTGTACTGGCTGGGGACCAAGCCTTGAACACAGGGCTTTGGGGCATACTATTTAAATCATAGTAGAAAAGAAACTTATTTCTTATACTTCTGGAGACAGGGAGGTCCGAGATTGATTGAAGGTCTCCTGGGGAGACCTTCTTGGCAATCATAAGATGGCAGAAGATATCACATGACAAGAGAGTGGGCATGAGAGGAACCAAGTAGCTTTTATGGTTGGCTCTCTGTATCCACAGGTTCTGCTCCAACCAATTGTGGATTGAAAACATTTGGGGAAAAAAATTCCAGAGTTCCAACAAGCAAAACTTGAATTTGTCATGCATTGATGGAATCCATATGAATGAAGCAATGTGTGGGTGCTCCCTCCTGTATCCGCCCACCATTCCAGAGACTCTGTCTCTCCAGCTCCTTGAGCATCGTATGCTTCTTGTGTTGTGCCTGGTTCTTGTACCGGGTAGCTAGGCCCACAGTGGTTGTGTCTGTATTGAACGCGTGCAGACTATTTTTCTTGTCATTATTTCCTATACAACACAGTAGAACAACTTCTTACATAGCATTTGCATTGTATTATGTTCTCTAAGTAAACTAGAGTTGGCTTAAAGTCTGTGGGATGACGTGTGTAGGTTATGTGCAAATACCAGGCCGTTATTCTATAACCTACTTGAACATCCACAGATTTTGTTATCCCAGGATATCAGCAATATAACAAAACCAGACTCTTGAAAACTAACCCATTCTCTTGATAATGACATTAATGCCTTCATGAGGTTCTGCCCTTACCTACCATTAGGCCCCATCTTCCAACATCGCTGCATTGAGGATTAAGCTTCCAGCACAGGAACTACGAGGGACAGGTTCAGCTCATAGCAGCTGGGAGATCTCTTGATGGTCCCAGCGCCTGGGCTGGGTGATATGGTCCGCAGGCCCCCTCATTCTCATCTATGGTCTTGGCACATCAGCACCCTTGTTTTGGCTATTCTGCTTCTCATGATAACACTCTTCTCTCTGTCTCGGCAGGTCCTTCAGAAACTGGGGAAGGCAGATGAGACCAAGGATGAGCAGTTTGAACAGTGCGTCCAGAATTTCAACAAGCAGCTGGTGAGTGTAGTGACCCTTGGCCTTGGGGAGCTCATGGGAATTGAACTGTGGCTTCCATGTGGAAAATGGGAAGGACCAGATCTGTGGAGTAAGAGGGATTGGAGGGGGATCAGTGTGGGCTGGTGGTGTCACCAAAGACCTGGAGGAGAGGGCACTGGCACTGGCTAGGAACACTGGAAAAGAAGAGGGTCAGGGGATACTTTAGAGAGAGTGATGGGGGAAGGGGAGGGTAGGTGGGAGTGGGCACTGGCTGGTGGCCAGACTCTGGAAGAGCTTGCATGCCAAGGCAAGTGGGAGCTACAGAAGCTTCATGCCAGGAGAGTGGCATCTGCAGGATTTAGTGTGGGGGCAGAGCAAGCTGGATTTGATTTGGGCATCTGCTGAACATGATGGGTGCTGGGCTGAGTAACAGGCTCCAGGCTGGGTTCTGTGGATGATGGTTGATGCCTACAAACAACCCCAGGTTACCTTGTGTAGATGGAGCAGCTGAGGTTCTAGAAGTGAGGTGATTCATTCAAGGCCAACCAGTTTGGGAAGTGGATGCAGACCCCTACTTATCTGCTTATAAAACCATGAGGGGGTTTCCAGGGCATCCTTACTAAGGACCATTCCAGGCTAGAGGCCAGTGACCGAAAGAGGTTTAATCACACTTGGCAGTATGGGGCAGTGGTTAGATATGAGGGAGGACTCCCCTACTGAAGGGAAAACTCTGAATATCCTGACTAGGCTGTCCTTGAAACTCCCTGCTGGAGATTTGCTAAGTCCAGAAAAAGGGGGAGTGAGATGAGCCTGTCAATTCTTCTTTCCCTGGGGAAGAACAAGGTAGCAGGAAGGGAGGGAGATCTGGGCCATGACTTTATGGCTTCAGAAGGGCAGATAGAGATCTAAGGGACAGATAGAGGTGGTGGCCAGTGGAATGGGACTGGGCATTGGGAGTGAGGTCAGGATCTAAGCTCTGCTAAGAGTGGGGTTGGGTGGGCACAGACTCTTGATACTTCTTGTCCATGGCTGTGGTCTTTGACGGTTCCTATCAAAGCCTCTGTAGCTGGAATGAAGCCCAGGGGAAGGGGTCTCCTTTGGAGACTACTGACAGCTCACTGACCAAGGGCTAGGAGCATTCCAGAGTGACAGAGAACAGCTGAGAGAGGGCTGGGAGCTTTCTGGGAGAGGGCCAAGGAGCATACTGGGAGAGGGCCAGGGAGCATGCTGGGAAAGGGGCCTGGAGCATGCTGGGAGAGGGCCAGGGATCATGCTGAGAAGGGGGCCTGGAGCATGCTGGGAGAGGGGGCCTGGAGCATGCTGGGAGAGGGCCAGGGAGCATGGCTGGGAGAGGGGGCCTGGAGCATGCTGGGAGAAGGCCAGGAAGCATGCTGGGAGAGGGCCAGGGATCATGCTGAGAAGGGGGCATGGAGCATGCTGGGAGAGGGGGCCTTCAGCGTGCTGGGAAAGGGCCAGGGAGCATGGCTGGGAGAGGGGGCCTGGAGCATGCTGGGAGAAGGCCAGGAAGCATGCTGGGAGAGGGCCAGAAAGCATGCTGGGAAAGGGATTCTGGAGCATGCTGGGAGAGGGGGCCAGGGAGCATACTGGGAGAGGGCCTGGGAGCATGCTGGGAGAGGGGTTCTGGAGCATGCTGGGAGAGAGCTGATAGCATTCTGGGAGAGGACTAGGGAGCAAGCTAGGTGAGGCCGCAGAGCCAAGCTACCCTGGTCTGCCAGAAAGGCTGAGCCCAAGAGGCTCCCAGAGCAGGGATGGGGGCCATCATATCTGCTTGTCCCCCAGACCAGAAATTACAGGTGTTTTAAGACCCTTGTGGATCCCACAACAGGCCACATCTACTGTGTTAAGTTTCCTCAAATAAAATAAAGGCTTGAACAAGAAATCTAAAGCCTCAGTTCTGATTCAGTCTCTTGGAAGCTCCAGATATGTCCCCTTCTTAGCTGTTTTCCTCAGTTTGTGGGCAGCTCGGAAGTCCTTCTAGGGATTGCTGCTACTTGGATACTTACTATGGGCCATGAGATGTTGTGTCTTTTGTAGACATTTCCTTGCAGCCCTTGAAATGGGTGCCAATATTCTCTTCATTTTGCAAATGTAGCACTTGAAACTCAGATAGGTTAAGCAAACTTTTTCAGGCCCACACTACTGGTTTGGGGATTTGGGGATTTCAATCCAGACCCGGGACCCTTGAATTTACTCTTGAGTTTCTTCTCTGGAGCTGACCCCTAGTCCTGAATGCAGGTGGCTGGGTGGGTTGGTGGGAAAGCTGTAGTCCCAGAGAGGGCATGGTAGTGTCTCCCCAGAGCAGACTGGACTGTTTGGTGGAGGTGAGGAAAGAAAGCATAGATGTGGAAGCTGAGGTTCCCATGGCCTGGCTCTAGAGCTGAAGCCACAGCATTGCTCTCCCTACTCCTCCCTTAGAGTGACCCCTTTTGAGTCCCTGGTCCTGGACAAATAACCACTCGCTGATCTTTGGGCAGAGGTACTGGGTAGAGATGCCAGGGCTAAAGATAGCCAGTGCTGGTGGCTTCCTGGCTGTGGGCTTAGAATGGTCACCTGAGCTGGTGCTTTTGTCTGCCCCAGGTTTGGTGGGGTGACTGACTTATTCGGGGCCGGGGGTGATAGTGGTGGTGGACAGTTTTGAAGTCTCATTCAAGTGTTGGGGTAACCCTCCTGTGGTAGTCAGCTTTTTTGTTGCTCCGACCAAAACCTGACAAGAACAACTAGAGGAAAGATTTATTGTTTGCTCACGGTTTCAGAGAGTTCAGTTCGTGGCTGGCTGGCTCCATTGCTTTGGGTTTGAAGTGAGGCAGAACATCATGGCAGAAGGGTGTGGTGGAGGAAGGTGCTCAGATCATGGCAGCTGGGAAGCAGAAAGAGAGAAAGACAGGAAGGAACCAAGGATAAGATAGAGTCACCAAGGCACACCCCCAGTGACCTGCTTCCTTCAGCCATGCTCCACCTGCTGTAGGTTGAAGATACTGTTCTGCCGTATTATGTTTTCTCATGTTTCCCGCCATAGTCTGTTTAGCTATTGGTAGATGAATCCACTGATGAGGTCAGAGTCCTCATAGTTCACTCGCTTCCCTAAAGCCCTACTACGGGACATTGCTGCATTGGGGACCACGTCTTCAGTACATGAGCTTTTGGGGGACATTCCAGATCCAAACTGTAATACCTTCCTTGAAGGTTATGGCACCCTGTCAGTTCTGGATCTGACTGGTATATGCAGATGTCTGGGGTGTGGCGTGAGTGTTGGGGTTGGGACCAGTGTGAGGGTCACTGCCCTTGAGAGAGGAAATGAGGGAGCTGCTGTGGATTTGGCCTCAGCCAACCTACAGGGCTTGGGGGGGGGGGTGCCCGGGAAATGCAAGATGGAGACAGTGTAGAAAGCCTGGAGACTCTCCTGCCTCTTTACCCGTGTGCCCCAGTATCACTAGGCCCAGCATTAGGGGTGGACAAGGGTAGCAGAGAATTTAGTCTCCAGGGAAGAAAATTTTTCCTGTGAGGGCGAAGCCTTGGAGAGGGTGTTGCTCACGTTTCCATCACCTGCTCTCGTAATGAGCCCCTCTGGGCCCGTTTGGTGCTGGTCATAGGCCCTTGTCTTCTGGCCCTACACTGAGGGACCATAGGGGCCTACTTGGCCCCCTTACTTCTAGAGCATTGCACATCATGCCCTCTGGAAACCATCTTGGCTTTTGAAGGTTGGCCAAGCTCTGCTTCTTAGGGTCCCCTTGCAGCTTGTAGGACCCAAGACCCTCTGAAGTGGGGCAGGTCTGGTTTCTTTTTTAACCTAGGGCCCACCTGGGTTCTGCTCACAGTGGGCAGCCCTGGCTATTGAGTGAAGACTGATCCCTGAGCATTGAATGGTGAGGGGCAAGAATCAGAGCTGGAGCCAGAGGGGTCCTTGTGGCAGGGGGCCATCCTTGTCCTCCAGACCTTCCAGGAAGCTGGGTTCTTGAGTCTGCAGGAGCTCGGGGATGATGGCTGAGCCATGGCACTGCCTCAGCTCCTTATTAACTCCTATAGGCCAAGTTGGGCAGTGGCCCCAGAATCTTCTCCTTCTCCAGCTGGGCTCTGCAAAGGGTGTGCTTAGAACCCAAGAAGCTTCCAAAAAATTATTTCCCAGGCATCCTGTTTAGGAGGCTGAGGGAGCCAGTTTAGAAGTGAGCACACACGGTTCTGATTGGTCCAAGAGGGGCTGGCTTGGATGGGATCCAGGGTACAGGAAGGCATTGTTCACCTCGAGGACTGACTGCCGAGTGCGGCTTAGGGATCCAGCTGCACAGGAGAGGCAGAGCTCCGGGCAGCCCCTTGCACATCTGCAGACCACGTGCTTGCTTACAGCTCAGCGTTGTCCTGGAAGCACAAGAGGCCCTGGTACAGCCAGCAGCCCGGATTAGTGCAGCTGCCCACCCCATGGGGAACCCTTTGCTTGGGTGCTGTATAGAGGCAGGTGGGGATCAGGCCAGAGGTGCAGCTGGGTTGAGGTAGTCTTCGCAGGGAAAGAAGCCGGGTCTGGAAGATTCTATGATATCAGATGACACAATGGCATTGCATCATGAACACACTTGAATCCTCATCTCGCCCAACAAAGCATTTAATTGTTAGGTTAGGGAGGCAGTGTCAAGGGTGGATGGAGCTCTCCTCATTGGTCAGTCGGGCAGGGTGCACAACCCATCCTTGCTGGCATTCTAGAGAGATCTGAACATTCGTTTCTTCATTTGATTTTTAATCAGTAGCCTCACATTTAGGTTTGATCAGGGTTATGTACTATACAGTTGACCCTCCTTATCTGTGTGTTCTGAATTTGCAGATTCAGCTGATTGCAGATTGAAAATATTTTTGGGGAAAACCAATAAAAAGTAACAACACACCTACAAAAAAAAAAAAAAAAAACAGCACAAGTAAAAAGCAATGTAGTATAATGATTATTTACATAGCATTTACATGAGAGGTGTTATGAGTCATCTAGAGATGGTTTGAAGTGTACGAGAGGATGTGCCTAGGTTATATGCAGATATGATGCCATTTTATATAAGGGACTTGATCATCTGTGGATTTTGGTATCTGAAAAGGGGTTCTGGAGCCAATTCCCCATGCATTCCAAAGATCCACTGTTCTCTATGGGCAACCGAAGGAATTTTAGAGAGGCCTTTTTTTAATTATATAACATCTTATATGCTGTTCTCAGCGCCCCCCCCCCCCCCCCCCCCGCCACATGGCCCCACTTTGATGTGAAAGCATTCATTGTAGTGAATAGGCAGATCCGTGTGTTCATGGGGGCCACATTGTCACCAGTTACTCACTCAGCAAACCGCCTGGCCTTGGAGGGTCTCCCTGGCTGTCCGAGTCTCTGTGTGACTCTGGGCAGGTCGCTGACCCTCTCTGCCTCCCTGTGGGCAGCTGGTACACAGAGCTCTGTGTGCGTTGGGGAGGAAGGGCCGGCCTGAGCTGAGCCAGGGTGAGCCTGAGGAGGGAGGTGGGAAAGCCTGCTTGCCCTCCTTGGACTGACCTGCCTGGGTGGAGAGCATCTTCACACTCTTCAGGGTGACTGATCTCCTGGGGCCATGGCTGGCTGCTGGGCCTGCGTCTCCCTAAGCCCTCTTAGGGTGAGGGTATCCAGAGCAAGGGTGTCTCTGAGTCTGGGATGGGCATCTGTAAGACCAGGAGGGTGCCTTTGTGTAACACAGGTCAGCCATAGCCATTACTGTTCTCCTTGTGTCCCTCCTCCCCAACCCCTACTCCTCCTCACATGTAGTCCATCTCCTGAGAGTGGTCTTCAAGGCCTCTGGAATCTGGTTCATGGGAGCCACTTCTAGACCACCTTTGATGTGTCAGGCATGGTCATTCACCCAGGCTCAGGGAGGCCACTCACTTGGGCCTTACTGCCTGGCTCCAAAACCTGTATATACTTTCCTTTCTTCCCATACTTCTTCTGGAACTTTCCATGTCTCATTGCTGGTCATCTCAGACCTCTTACCTGTTATTCACCCCTCTTTGTCCCAGAGTTCAGTGTCCCAGGCCCCTGATTTCTTTCTTTTCTTTTCTTTTTTTTGCAGAGGGAGTAGTACCAGGGATTGAACCCAGGGATGCTTAACCACTGAGCCATATCCACAGCCCTTTTTATGTTTTATTTTGAGACAGGGTCTCCCTACTTTGTTTAGGACCTTGCTAAGTTGCTGAGGTGGGCTTTGACCTTGCAATCCTCCTGCCTCAGCCAGAGCCGCTGGGATTACAGGAGTGTGCCACTGTGCCCAGCCTGGCCCCTACTTTTTGTGGTATTGATGGTGCAGAAGGATGTAGAGCTGGTCTCACCCTCTGTGCTGGCCCTGCTGTCTCCGGAGGCCCTGTTCTCAGTTCAGAAGGCTTCACACTCTGCTCACTCGTGTTCTTCAGCCTTTTCCTCCTACATTCTATATTCTACATCCTCCCTTTCAGCTGGACCAGCGACTTTAGGGTCTTGGAAATGACCCCCCCCGCCCCCATTTGCACCCCTGCTGACACTGTCCCTTCTGGAGTTTTCCTGTCCTTGGAGGTCTGTGGCCCTCTGCCATTAGACCCTCTGTCTTGTGAGGGCCCCCACTGGGGCCTCCTTCCCTGACACTGTGCTGTGGCAGCCCTCTCTTCTTGGGTCCTACCTGAGCTGGCACTACCACAGCAGGCTGTGACACTCTCCTGGCCTGGGCTCCTTTGCCTGTTGTCTGAGTGCAGTTTGGTCCTTCCATACCCAAATAACCTGCTGCATTCTACTGTACTTCCGGCATGTCATCTGGTGCACAGGGACCCTGTCTTCCTGCCTTATAAAGTGTGCATGGTGGGGAGACAGGGTTTTCGAGGCAGGGATGATGCCAGGAGTGCAGTGCTCTTCAGTGTGAGCTTGTGGCCGTAGCTACTGTCCTCTGAGGTGGGTTCCATACTGGCCCACTGAGGGGTCAGCCGAGCAGCCTAGTTTATCATGTGAAAGAAGCAGGGAGGAGAGTTGGGGACAGAGGGTGCCCCAGGCCCTCACCTGGTTCTCATCTCTGTCCACAGACTGAGGGCACCCGGCTGCAGAAGGATCTCCGGACTTATCTGGCTTCAGTCAAAGGTGAGGGAAAGGCAGGGCAGAGCTGGGGACGGGATGGCAGGGCCACCTCTGCAATGGTAGTGGCTGTCACTGAGAGGCCACCTGCTTTTCTCTGCCCCTCAGCCATGCACGAAGCCTCCAAGAAGCTGAACGAGTGTCTACAGGAGGTGTATGAGCCCGACTGGCCCGGCAGGGACGAGGCCAATAAGATCGCCGAGGTGAGCATGGGACTGGTGACCTCAGCCCTTCCCGGAGTGCACTTCTAGCCTCAGCTCCTGTCCCCTAGCCTCACCCTCTGGGACAAGCTGTCTTGGTTCCCCAGTGTGCACACACTGTGTGCCCTTGGGCAAGCTGGCTGTCATTCTTCTGACACAGTCACCCTAGGGGTGAGATAATGGATTGTGGCAGTCTCTGTGTGTTATGACTCATGACTTACAAAGTCTCCTTCACTGACTGCACCTCCCTGTCATCCACGAGAAGCTGCAGGGCAGGAGTTGTTGCCTCTGTATTACAGATAGGGACATTGAGGCTCTGAGAATCCACTGAGTGCTTCAAGGTAGTGGGGCTGGGGCTGACCCCCAGGTCCTTGGGTGGGAAACGGGGATGGGTATGGCCTCATGCTTTACCTGTTTCAGAACAATGACCTGCTGTGGATGGACTACCACCAGAAACTGGTGGACCAGGCGCTGTTGACCATGGACACGTACTTGGGCCAGTTCCCTGACATCAAGGTGAGAGTCCTCTTGATGGATCTGACTTGTTCTAGTCTGGCATCCAGTGGAAGGGGAAGGAGGAGGAGACCCAGAGGTGCTGTCCAGGGCTGGCTCAGGCCACAGCCAACTCTGTCCTGTGGGTGACATTCGCCTGGCGTGGCATCTCATCCTTCTGGGGCTACTCCCTCTGTGGTCAGCCCACCACCTCACCTGCTCCACAGAACTGGCCCTTCCTGTACTTTGGGTCTGAGGGCTATGGTGTGTTACCTGTGTTACCATGGTGTGTTACCTGTGTGTGGCCAGGTTGCTGTGGAGTGACTCTGGGACTGACTGTAAGGTGTGTGGAGTGTGAGGCCCAGGCGTGTGTTTATGTGGAAGGGTGTGTGTAGTGGTGAGTGTTGCCTGCTATCAGGGTCTGCTTGTCGGGCTGTATTTGTGTGATGACAAGGCCAGCTGCCTCCATCATGCTGGGTAAGTGCCAAGAGCTCTCGGTGCGCCATGTCCTGACTGAGGCAAAGGGGACCTGGGGTGCTGTGTTCATGAAGGCACAGGGGTCTGGCGCCCGGGAGGGTGACCATTATGCTGGGCTTTTGGTCCCTGGATGCGTGTGGGTGTCATGGTCATGCTGCCCTGGGAGCTGCCCCCGATGCCTCAGGCTTCCTGTCACTGATTGGGGGTGCTTTGGGAAGGAGAAGAGGGGCCCAGCGGCATCTGTAAGGAGCCCAGTGCTAGGCCAAGAAGATTCTTGGCTTCCATATTACTGGCTGGTGTTTTAAAGAAAACATTTGAGGCAGAGAGGCAAGCCGCTGGAAGGGGTGAGTTCCTTCTTTCTGGAATGCTCCAGCACCCAGGGCTCCCGCAGGCCTGAGACAAGCTCTCGTGGGTGCCAGGCCCCGCTCAGCCCCTCCTCCTCTGCTTGCCCCCCAGTCACGCATTGCCAAGCGAGGGCGGAAATTGGTGGACTACGACAGCGCCCGGCACCACTATGAGTCCCTTCAAACCGCCAAAAAGAAAGATGAAGTCAAAATCGCCAAGGTAAGGGCTGGAGGAAGGGTCAGGGGAGTCTCAGGGAGGCAGGCAGATGGCGGGGGGCGGGGGTGATAGTCCAGGGTCCCTGGGCTGGGGTGGGAATGGTGCTGGTCCAGGGCTGCAGAGAGGAAGGCCCTTCAGGGTGCCGTGGTGGGGGCTCACTTGTGGCTCCTCCCTGCCCTCGGCAGGCCCCTCTGCCCTTTCTGAGATTCTGAGGCCCCTTTCCAGAATGAGAATAGACCTAGCTTGGGTTTCAGTGGAATGGTGCCACCACCCTGCCTGGCGCAGGGTGGACTTCTGTCTTGGGATCTGACGTGACCCTGGGTTGGCTGGAACAAGCTGGTGGGCTGGTCACAGTTCCGGCCACCACTGGCCACTTGGTAAGGGGGTTGGGATGGTGGGATTCCTCCCACCCTGGGGCCAGACCCTGCTTGCTGAGCCCCTCTGCTCTGCTAACGACTCTCACTTTGCCTTTGCAGTTGGAGTTCACCCCCTCCTCGTGCCCCCCTCGGGCAGGTTCCTTTTTCTTGCTGCAGGGGCTGGCTCCCTGCAGGGGCTGGCTTGTCTGTCTGTGCATTTGGGGTGTGTGGGCTTAGTGTTTAACCTCTGTGTCTGTTTCTCTCTCCCCACCTCCCTCCTGTCTCTCCACTCTCCTTTGCCTTGACCTGCCTCCCTGCCCCCCCAGCCTGTCTCGCTGCTTGAGAAAGCCGCCCCCCAGTGGTGCCAAGGCAAACTGCAGGCTCATCTCGTAGCTCAAACTAACCTGCTCCGAAATCAGGTGACATTGGCTTCTAACCTTGCACGTGCTGGCGCCTTTCGGTCTGTCGGTCTGTCATTCTGTCCTCTCACTGGGCACCTGCCTGCCCAGCACCCAGAGCTTCCCTGGGCGGGTGGGGGAGGGCTCAGCCCCTTCCTGGGGTTGGGGGGTAGGGCTGGTCTCTGAGTTGGCGGAGGCTGAGCTGCAATCAGGCAGGGGACTCTCAGACACGTCTGGTTTAGAGAATACCTAAGGTCGAATGTCCAAGGTGGATAGAGGCAGAGGGGCTGCAGTCCACTGGAGATTCCTCTTTTATCCCAGAGCTCCAGGAACTCAGGAATACCTTTGAACCACTTGTTGTTTCCCAGGGCTTCAGTGGGGAGGGAGGTGATATTAGGGCTCCTGTCCTGGTGTGAGCCGTCCTTCAAGTCTCACAGAACTCCACGGTTACCTGAATTGCCCAGGGAGACATATCTGAAGAAGATATGTCCAGAGAGGCCCAGTCTCCTGCCCTGGGTGCCAGAGCTGGCTAGTGGCATAGCTGGATCTCACCTGACTCAAGCTACTGGGTCCTTAACCTGGTCACTCTCTGGGGCTGCATTGGCTGGGCCCTGCCACAGCTAGCCCAGGACTGTGGGCCCCTGAGGTGACAGGAGGGGACGTGGAGAAGGCTCCCTAGTCTGACTGGGATGCTGAGACCTGGAAGTAGAGATCAGGGTCCTGGAGGGTTGGCCTTTTGAAGGTTTCTTGAGGACAGCTGCTCAGCATCACAGTGTTCCTGGGGGGCTTCCTGGAGGAGGCTCTTTGTACAAAACTCCTGGGTTATCTCACCACCCTGGTGATAGATACTTCCCTTTTCTCAGTGTCCTGTCCTTAGAATGGGCTGGTGTGACTGAGACCACTGGAGACAGTGCCCTGTGAGAGGTGGGCCACGTGATTTTCTGTCCAGTGAAACCTGTTGTTTTTCAGGTCGGTGTAGATGAAGCCTGAACAAGACTCCAGAACCCTTCATTGTGTGTGTGTGTGTGTGTGTGTGTGTTATGGAGGCAGGTGACAGGCTTGACCTAAGAGGTTGGGTTTCTCTCTGGGCAGCTGCCCTATTTTTCCTGGGCCGCATCCTGATTTCATCATCTTCAACCCACATGTATCGAGTGCCTAAGATGTGGGAAGCTCTGGCTTGGTGTGGCTCGCTGCCCAATTTCTTACCTGACCTCTGCTGCCTGGTTTCTTTCAGGCCAAAGCTGGGGACTGACTTTGGAGGCACTGGGTGCTGATAGCCTCATTCTGAGGTTGGGGTCAGGTTGACCCTGGCTCTCTAGGGCCTGTGGAGATGGTTGGGGGCCTTGAAAAGACCTGAGTCTTCCTCAGTCAGCTGGGGAGGTAGAGGAGAGAGGGGCTGAGGGAGGATTGGGGTTGCTGAGCCAGAGCCAGGGTTCCTGCATACTTTCCCCTGAAATAGGTGAAACCATTGTATTGGCCCCCTAGGAGGCCATGGGACCTGGGATGGGAGCCTTCCTGCTGCATTTGGGCTCCTGGGTGGGTGTGGCTGAAGATGCTGCTGGGTGGGGCCCCTGAGGCATGTGATCCCATCTTGGGACGCTGGGCTGCAGATGTTTTTCTTGCTCAAACTGGCTTTCCTACTTGTATCTAGCCCCTGCTCTTCTCCCCCCCACCTCAGCACTGGGGATTGAACCCAGAGGTGCTCTACACTAAACAACATCCCAGCCCTTTTTAATTTTCTATTTTGATACAGGGTCTCCTATGTTGCCTAGGCTAGCCTCAAGCTTGCCATCCCTCTGCCTTAGCTTCCCAGGCGGCTGAGAGTACAGGGCCCCACCACAGTGCCCATCATGGGTCCCATTTTTATTTGAGCATATCCTACTTCTTCTTAGGTCTGTCTGAAAGTTGGAAATATGTTGGATTTGCTCACATGACCTGGGGGCTGCTGGCTGGCCATGAGCTTGGAACTTGGAGCTTAGGGCTGCCCCACTTGTGGACTTGGCTTTGGGGAGGCAGGGGGGTCCTCTTGAGCTGTGCTCTTGGGAGCTGACCAGTTCCACGTGTCCCTGAGCTGGCTCTGAGGTGCTTTCTATACTTGCCATGGCCTCCTGAGGCCTTCCTGCATGACCTGGTGCTGATCTTGGATCTGTCCTTGACCTGTCAGCATATAAGGGAGCTCCAAGGGCCTGGAAGGGCTCCCCTAGCCATGGACAGTCTCCCCTGCCCCCCCCCCCCCAACTCTCTGCCAACCCCAGGTGCTACTTATGAACCAGAATATGAGGAATGTGACCTAAAGGGATTAAAAGACAGGCCCTGACATCTGGCAGCTCACTAATGGACCTGCCCTGTTCTTTGCAATGTGGCTGCGACCTGTGAACAGGGCCTGGTGCTCAGAGGGCCTCTGATTGAGGGATGGGTGTGTGTTTAGATGGATATTTTCCCCACTTCTGTTACACCTCTCAGTTTTATAAGGTGGATTTTAAATGGTCAGATAAGGAGTCCATGCTCACTCTTTCAAGTACCTGGAGGTATAGAAGCCATGGTGGTCCCTTCTTCAGCCCCACCCCATCACCAAATGGCTCTAGCTTAGGTATACTTGGGATAGGGGCTCACTAGGGCTGGTCCTGGTGCCTGAATCTGGGTGGAGCAACTGGCTGGGCCTGGGGAAATCGCATGCTTTTGGCAAAGTGGTGTTAAGGCAGCTGGTTGCCTTTGCCAGGAGGTGGCCCCAGCCCCAGCCTCAGCCTGAGAATTGAGGCTGCTGGCAGAGGTCCCCCCTGGGTGGGACCCGCTACATTCCTGGGCTGTGACTCACACCCTGAATCTGAGTCACCTTCCTGAGTCACTGTTCCCAGCAGTGTCTCTGCAGAAGTGAACTAGCAGAGCCCCTTCCCCAGGCCTGGCCTGGATCTGACTTGCCTTTCTCTGGCTGCTGATGGAACCTTGGCGCCACCCGCTGGCGGATGTCAGCCACCCGAGAGGCACGGGAAGGGGAGTGGGGACTGGCCAACCTGCCAGCAGCTTTAGCTTCCTTCTTCCTAGTCACCACCTCCCTCTGCCCGTCCCAGAGGTACCTGAGCGGCTGCTCCTAGTAGGTCACAGAAGAGAGAGGGGTTGGTGGGAAAGACTGTCCCAGGAAGGTAAAGGAAGGCTGGCCTTGGCTGGGCAGGAGCTGGCCCTGAGGAACAGGGAAGGAGCACTCAGGAGGGTCAGCAAGAGCAGCAGCCCAGGGAACTGAGTGTCAGGGCTGCCACTCAGCCCAAGGGCGTGCATATGGAGGCAGGCAGGACCCCACCTGGCCGGGTCTGAGGCTTGCCTCTGCACTCCTCCTGGGTAACTCTCTAGGCCCTTTGTCTCGAGCTTTCTTGTTGTGTGCTCCCTCACGCAGCCCCCACACTGGGTTACAGGGTTCCCCTTTTTTGTGTGGCTGCTCTGCCGGTTCAATTCCTAGAGCACCTCCCTCCATCCAGCCTGGACCGGGGTGTAGGGACCCTGAAAGGCTGCAGTGGGAGCCCCTGGATGAGTGTCCACATCCAGTCCACCCTTTGCCTTGCTTAGAGCCCCGGTCCCTGCATATTGGCAGGAGGTAGCAGTGGGACAGGCTGGCCTTGGGGATGGGGGTGGCCTGCCCTGGGCTGGCAGGGGCTGGCTGGGACAGAGGCCCAGAGAGAGGAATGACCTATCCTGCCCTCCAGGCTGAGGAGGAGCTCATCAAGGCTCAGAAGGTGTTTGAGGAGATGAATGTGGACCTCCAGGAGGAGCTCCCATCCCTGTGGAACAGGTGAGGCCAGGAGGGGTTCCTCATGCTGGCCTGGAGTGCCCAGCCTCCGTGTCCATCTGGGGTGGCCCCTGCCCGCTCAGGGCTTGTCTCTGATGAGGGTGTGTGTGTTCACATGTGGACAAGCTGGCCACGTGGCTGTCTACTAACCATGTTCTTCTTACCTCCGCCAGCCGTGTAGGTTTCTATGTCAATACATTTCAGAGCATCGCGGGCCTGGAGGAGAACTTCCACAAGGAGATGAGCAAGGTAGGCCCTGGGGGGACCCCTGTGGGCCTCAGGGCCTCTGGACCATGCTCCCTCCTGGTCTGACCATGGTGGTTATAGCCATGGATGGGGCCACCCAGGCTCCCCCTTGCCTTCCTGGCTTGGGTACACTAGCCCACTACCCTCTCTGGGTTGTGGGGAGGAACTGGTTGGTACCTGTTTTCAAGGGACTCCCTCTGCCTATCCCAGATCCAGCCCTGGCCCCTTCCCCACATGCAGCCTGTTGTTGCCTGGTCGGAGAGGTTGGGGGACATGGATCAGCTGTCCTCAAACTGTAAACGTGTTCTCAGGCCACATTGGCTCATGGAGCTCAGTGTTAGGAAATGATGACGATTTCCCAATTTATGGGGAAAAAATTGAGATGTTGAAATAGGCCCGCCTTATCTGCCAGATGTGAGAAGCAGTCTGGCCAGCTGATATTCCTACATTGTATTATTTCCATGACTGGACTGGCAATTGGAGTGCAAAGATGTTTAACTTTGCAGTTGGAAAAACCCAGTGTTGGCAGCTTCCCTGATCCATGCAATGGGTGGGTCTGACTTTGGTCTCTTGGGTCCAGAGGAATGAAGTGATTGAAGATGGTGGATTACAAGCCCAGGGCCAGTGGAGGAAAAGCCAGCTGGGGACCTTTCCCGACTTACAACCCTCAGTAGGGCTTCCTGCCTTTTTGGGTCTCTCATTCATTCCTATTTTTTCCTTCTTCCCTTCAAAGATTTGAGACAGCTTATGAAAAGTCTTGGGGAGGGGAATCTCTCTATCTAAAGTTAGTCCATGGAAATAAAAAGCACAAGGCAGAATTGTGTATAAGTAGGAGAAAAATTCAGCTCTGAGCTTCCTCGTCTCAGTAATGAGAACCGCAAGGTGCATGGGACAAATTGCCCCTCTTGCCTGTGCTTTGGTAAAATTCCTGGCAGTTATTGTCGGTCTGAAAGCATCTTGGCAAAACGACCTTGACCATTAGGATAAACAGTGATGGCAAAACCAAAAGTTGAAACAGTGCAAACTTCATATAGAATATTGGGGCAGCCTTATAAGTAGTAAGAAGAGAAGAGATGATCCCCGCAAACAATAACGGTTAGTAATAAGCCCATTCCCCTTTTCTCTTTCCCCTTGGTTTTTCGGGTTTGGTGTCCAGGTTCCCAACTCTCATCGATAGAGACAGAGGAGCTTGTTCCTGGCAGGGGCCGGGCTGGGAGAGGGAGAAGGAGGTGGTGCTGGGGAGGTGTGGCTGTACGGGTGTGGAGCCCTCACCTGCTCAGTGTCCCCCTACAGCTCAACCAGAACCTCAACGATGTGCTGGTCAGCCTGGAGAAGCAGCATGGCAGCAACACTTTCACAGTCAAGGCCCAGCCCAGGTGTGTGCAGGTGGGGAGGCTGTGGTTGGCCAGGGCTCCGGCATGGCCAACTTCCGTGGCTGGGACCCTGAAGTGCCTTTCTTGGTCTCCTGGGGTTTTGGCCCTGGGACTCTGGGAACCTTTCTGACCCTGCCTCCTTGTGACAGGGCAGCAGGTGAGGGCAGGTCAGCTGCTCCCCCAGTGTGTCCCTGAACCCGGGGTTTCCCACCTCGTTTGTGGAGAGGGGGCGGTCAGGGTGTGGAGAAGCCCCTGCTCAGCACTGGGGGCCAGGACTGAGTGGTCCCTGGACAGCGAGCCCAACTCCAGAGCAGGGCGGTGCCACTGCCCACCCCCCACTGTGGCTGTTGTGAGAGGCCCCGAGCCTGGATGCTGGCATGAAATGCTCCACATGGGCTCCTCCCTGTCCTCTGCAGGTGCCCCAGTGGGCCAGGTGCCCAAGAGGTCCCTGTTTCCTGAGGGAGGACACTAGGGGAGGGGAAAGCCCTGTGCCTTGGGTTGGGGCCGTGGGGTTGGAGCAACAGCAAGTCTGGGATTTCCCTCCCTTTCTGGGTGTATGTGTGTGAGAGAGTGTGAGAATTCAAGTGCGTACAAAAGTACACATGAGTATGTTGGTGAGATTGCGGGAGTAAGCGTATGGGCATGTCTGAGAACATGAGTATATGAGTGCACATGAGTGTATATGAGTGTGTGTGAGTGAGCATATGAGTGTGTGAGTGTGTATGATAATGTATGTGTGACAGTGTGGGTATGAGTGTGTGTGTAAGTGTGTGAATGTATGAGTGCATGTGAGGGTGTACGAGTGTGTTTGTGAGATTGACATGTGTCTCTGTGTGTGCACGTGTGTGTGTGTGCCCATGCACGTGTCATAGCAGGTGCAGAGAACCCTCATGAGCCTCAGTTTCTGCACAGGGTGATTGTGGGTGCTTCGTGGGTGCCTGGGGTGCTGCCTAGTGACTGTGTCTCCCCTCTTCCTTCTCTGAATGCAAGAGTGACTGAGAGAGGGCCCCACCAGTGCCTGAGGCAGCAGGAGGGGTGTAGAGGGTAGGGGAGGGTGGGATAAAGGCCAAGAGGTGGAGCTGAGGTCACTAGGGAGGGCACCTTCTAGCTGCGGAGGGACATGTGGGTACACCCAGGGTGTGTGAGGTGGTGGCGGGTGTGACTGTCCTGGGCAGTGCAGGCTGCCCCCTTGAGAAGGGCACCCAAGGCCAGAGGGAGGCAAGTGGAGACTTGGGACCCAGCTTTCGACCCAGCTGGCCCATGGTGCAGCCCTCCTCTTCCAGGGCTGCACACTGCCCAGCTGACCGCTCCCTGGCACTCTGGGCCCACCTGGGGTTCCTGTGGCCTGGGCCCTGTCAGCATCCCTGGTGCACCAAACTGGGGTTTGACCAGGGCACTAGGCCTGACAACAGGCCCAAGGATGGACTGTCCAGGCCTCTCCTGGCCCACAGGAGGGCAGAGGAAGGGGCCTTCCTCTGCACTTGGCATTTCCCCAAAATGAAGGCTTCCATGTCCCGTCCATCCCCACAGAAAGAAAAGTAAACTGTTCTCCCGGTTGCGCAGAAAGAAGAACAGGTACCGGCAGATAGTGCTGCGCTGGGGGCCTCCGAGCCAGCACCCGGCCACATCATGCATGTGCCTTGTGCCCTGCTGCGAGGGTGCCACTAACCCCTAACCTGCCCCGTGTGCTGTGCTGCCCCAGGGGACTGGGTTGTGCCATGTGTTGGGAGGGGACAAAGGACCAAGGGAGCTGTCAGGTAGAAAGGAGGAGAGTGCAAGGTGGCAGTATGAAGATGTGGCCCTGGCTGCCTGGGTGCTCACAGGTGGAAAAGGTGGCAGGCTCGGGAAGGGGACACCGCAGCACATGTGTATACCACATGTCATGTTGATCTCTCTTTAAGGAGGCAAATACATTTCCATAAAACAAATTCAAAATAGACAAGACAGTACCAGGAATGTCTCTCACATTGTCCCCAAGCCCCCACCAGGTGACTTGGTCTTTCTAGATCTGCACCGGCTAGCACAGTGAATGCCTGAAACGTGGCCAGGGTAATGGAGGCTTTGAGTTCGTAGTGTTAATTAATTTAGATTGAATACCCGCCTCCCCTGTGGCTGGTGGGTGCTGTGTTGGATGGTGCCATTCTAGAACATCCGTATGCAAGAACAGATGATTTTATCCTTCACACCCGATGGCCGCTGTGCACACCTTCGTCCCCTGGTGTTACTGCGTGGACACTATGCCCAGGACCTTCCCCTTATTTCTGGTCTGTCTGCTCTTCTGCCATGAAGTCATGCCATCTGTTTACCTGGCCTCTGGGAGTGTATTGGGGAGGCACACTGGGCTGAGGGGGACGGGGATCGAAGGTCTGGAGACAGTGAGGGTATCATGGGTGGACTAATGGACTGCAGTGGGTAGAGGTGGCAGCCTGTGGGGCAGGCCAGGGAGGCGGTCCCCACCCCCTGATAGAGGGACTGCTGTGTAGTTGGGGAGACTCACTTTGCCTCTAGAGTGTCTGGCTTGCTCATGCTGCAGATCTCGGACAACATCAGCATAGGCTGTGGTACCAGGTGCCTTCTGTGTCCCCAGGGATCACAGGCCTCCGGTCTGGAGTCCCAGCTGGTGCAGCTCCTGCCTCCAAGGCAGGTCCCCACTGTGAACTCCTGCAGGTGCATGCCCAGGGCCTTTCCTTACCACCCATTCTCAAAGACACACACACCTCATATTCTCCTGTACCGGCACGCATGCACACACACTTCCACACGTGGATACAGGGGGACATGCAGGCACCATGTACACACCCTGTCCCATGTGGAACCCTGGGGACATGCAGGGACCATGTACACTTACTCTCACACGCGGATCCATAGGGACATATAGGCCCACATACGCACAATTCCACATCAGGATCTGCGAGGACAGGTACACAGGTGTCCTTAGGCATACACCCGTGTACCCGCCACGTCTGCGCATCTCTCTTATGCCATGGCCTCTCTACATTGCCCTCCCTTTCTTATCCTGCCTCCGTAGTGACAATGCCCCTGCCAAAGGGAACAAGAGCCCGTCGCCTCCACCAGATGGCTCCCCTGCAGCCACCCCCGAGATCAGAGTGAACCATGAGCCAGAGGCAGCCAGCGGGGCCACACCCGGGGCCTCCATCCCCAAGTCCCCATCTCAGGTAGGCATGCTGTCTCAGTGGCCTGTCCCCTGCCCCCCCTTTCTCTTGCTCCTATGTTGCTGTCTCCATCCTCCTCCTCCTCCTCCTCCTCCTCCTCCTCCTCCTCTCCCTCCTCTTCTCCCTCCTCCTCCTCTTCCTCCTCCTCCTCCTCCTTCTCCTTCTCCTCCTCTTCCTCCTTCTCCTCTTCCATCCCTTGCCTGGACAGGTTTGGAGCCAAAGGCTTTGCCCAGCGGGGGCCTGGGCCTGGGCCTTGTTCTCTTCGGCCCCCACCTAGCCCAGGCTGGCCCAGTGGCCCTGGCCCACCCCAGGTCTGTGACTATTTCTCCTTTCCTGTGTCCCCACATACCCTTTCCATCCCCTTCCCTCTCTCCCTGGCTTTTCCGCATTTTGGCTCCTTGACTTTCTCTCCATCTTCCTTCCGTGTCTAGATAGGTGCTCAGGTGTCCTCAGCCTCCAGAGTCTCGGAAGTCTCTTCTCTCACTGGCGGGGGCTTGAGGAAGGAGCCCCACCAGGTGTTCTTATGGGATCATGAAAGGGACAGAAAGAGGGAGGACTCAGTGAGGGAGCGTGGGAGGTCCAGTGGGACAGAGCCTGGGCTTCTGGACTGTTTTGTCTCCACACCCCATCTGCCCCACCAGCGGGGGGCCTGGGAGTGGGCAGCCAGGTGGGGTTGAGAGGGGAGAACCCTTTTGGTTTCTATGCTGTTCCTGATTCAGTGGGCAATTTGGATAATGATGCTAAGAGTAGGGACAAGTGCCCAAGTGAATAGCGCTTCTTCTGGGCTGGACATTATACCAGTGCTCTCCATGTTTTCATTCACTGAATCCTCCCAGCTGCCCTGGGCAGTGGATACCATTAGCACGGGTATTCAACAAAGGGGGAAGCCCAGGCTCGGGGACTGTGTGGCCTGCACGAGTTCCCTCACCCTGTGAGTAGGTGTGTGGCCCTGCATGGCCTGGCCCCATGTTGGCCTCTCTAGGGACAGACTGAGGCTGAGCTGGGGCAGCCCTGGGCCTAGGGAGATGGAAGAGTGGACTGTGGGAGGGCAGAGGTGGACAGGGGTGAGCGCCAGACCTCACCCAGAGGTCCTGGGGCCTGAGCGGTCACTCTTACCTTCTTTAGCTCTCTCTTTTGCTCCTTCCTTCTCTTTCCTCCGCTCTCCTTTTTCTTCTTCCTGCACAGTATTTCTGGACTTCCCGCCTTGGTCTCCCCCCTGGGGGTGGCCTGTAATCCTGGTGTCTGGGTCTGGGGCAGTGACTCTTCATTGACCTTGTTTTCCTCAGTTGCCTGTGTGGTGCTGGGGCTTGGGGTGTGACTAACCTTGGCTTTGTCTCTGTCTCCCCGGACCCCCACGCTCTGCTCTGCCTCCTGCGCTGTCCCCTGGCCTGCGGACCCACAGCTCCGGAAAGGTCCACCAGTCCCTCCGCCCCCCAAACACACCCCGTCCAAGGAGATCAAGCAGGAGCAGATCCTCAGCCTGTTTGATGACACGTTTGTCCCCGAGATCAGCGTGACCACCCCCTCCCAGGTCAGCCGCGGCCGCCGCGGCCCAGTCTTCTCCCCTCCTCTCGCTCTCCGGGAGCGTGCATGATCTTCATTCTCCATCCCATGCCCTGGGCTCCTGTCTTTAGGGCCAGGAATCTGGCTGTGTAGTCTGCGCCTGCCTCTCTCATTCATCCGCCCTCCCACCTCCGTCATTCCTCCATCACTGTCCATCATCCATCTCTGAGCATGTCCTGTGGCCAGATGCAGGGATACGGAGGTGAAAGCTGTCCCCTTGCCTCTGGGGGCCAGCTCTGCTGATGCTATGGTGGGGAGTGTGGAGGGCTTAGGGCAGTCAGGGAAGGTTTCCTGGAGCAGGTGACCTTTGCTTGGCGGGTACTCACAGAGAGCCATAGGCAGAGATAGCGGAGAGTCTGGGAGGGATGGGAGATGGGATGACTGTAGCCAGAATAACATGGGGGTGGGGGCAGTGGGAGTAGCTGGTTAGAGCAGTTGGACACCCTAGAGTGGCCTGGCATGGAGACTTTGGCTTGTAAATGTCCTAACAGACGTGTAATGCCCCTCCATGTATGAACAGGAGGAGGGCACAGCAGGGAGTGTTGCTCATGGCTGAAACCTCTCGCTGGCACCAGATTGGGCTGACACATTATCAGATGGACTCAGGGGCAACCCCCAGAGAACTTCCCGCTGGAGGCTGGCTCCCCAGGCCTCACAGCCTCCCTTCTGCAGGGCCTCACCTTTGATGGAAGTGATGCTAGACCAGACTGTGGAGGACTCGGCCACAGTGCCGTGGGGTTTCTCGGGCCTGCCTGCAGCCTGGCCCTGGAGGTTTTCGACTCTGCCTCCAGCAGGATCCTTTGCATAAGCCCAGAAGCCTGGAGGAGAGGCCCATGAGCATGGTGAAGGGCAGGTGGGATCAGAGAACAATGGTTACAGGTCGGCACCAAGACTGCTGGCAGGTGGCTGTGTGACGCAATGCCAGCGGCCCAGGAGGGATACAGACCTCTCTGAGAAGGAGGCACAGGGAGGTAGGAATAGCAGTGACAGCCCTCCTCTGCCTGAGGGTGACTGTCTGGGAGACCTGGACATGCTGGCCAGCATGTTTTCAGATGAGGGAGACGGATGACATGAGAGCTACCAAGTACTGACCAGGTAGTGCCACCTGCTTCCTGCAGTACATCCTTTGGTTTTCAAACACCCTCTAGGAGGGGGCATTGCCCCTATTTAGGAGGTGAGGGACCTTCAGGCCTGATTGACAGCCTGTCTCAGACAGGGAAGAGGAGTCTGGCCAGGATGTGGCTAGAGACTGCTCATACCCAGACTATGACTCTGTGTGTCTCTGTCCCCCCATGTGTCTGCATGTGTCCTTTGCCACCCCTTGTATCCATATCCAGGGAGGTAGGGCTCTCCATTCTGGTCTGGGGTGGGACAACTGTCTACCTTGGGTATTGCTGCATGGGGCAGGGGTGGGTTTGTCCCCATCCATGATGCAGGTTCTACCAGGGCTTCTTTGCTGTGATGTGGTGAGTAGCCTGTGTCCCTGTGAGGAAGGATCCTCAGTCATGCATGGTGCGGGGTGGGGGTCACTTGCCAGGAGCAATACAGCAAGGTGGTCAATGCTGTGGCTGATGACCCTTCCCTGGGAGCACTAGGGGAGTTGCTGTCTGGACTTAGCCGACTAATGTGAGGGTGTTGAAGAAGCAGGGTGGGGCTTGGGGAGGACGCTGGCCCCCTGCTGGTGGGAGGTACCTGGAGGCTGTGTGTATTGGTGTCCTAAGTACGCAATCCTCAGAGATGGCTTGGCTGTGAGTTGGGGCAGTGACCTTACCGACTCAGGCCCATCAGATAGGACTGGACCTGAAGGAGAGTCAGCCGCTGGGGGTAGGCCTGGGCCCCCCTGGTTCTGGGGAGTAGGTCTATTTGACCTGCTGACGTGGAAGGCCTGATGCTGGGGGACAGATGCCCGTGAGTGTTCTCAGGAGGCCTCTCTGGAGAGCCACTGCCCATACCTCAAGTCTCAGGACCTTGATGGAGGCTCTGTGGTGGACACCGGCCTGGAGGGCACTCCCTCTTAGTGCTGGGTGCTTGTCAAGAGTGAGTAGGGCCAGGGAGTTGGCTGGCCTGGGCTTTTGGGGCTACGGACCCGCCCAGTACTGCATGAGGGCTCAAGAGAGCCAGAACCCTGAGCCACATCCTCTTTTGGATCTGGATAAAGTCTTTTCTGGTCCTGAAAGAAGGAAATCCCTTGCATAAAAAGATGAAGGCTGCAGACTGTCCAGCCCCTCCTTAAAAGCACCCTGTCCCCTGAGTGCTGGTGCATTCCCAGCCCCCTACCAGCCTCAGAGGGCTTTTCAAAGCCAGTCATCAGTTCTTCCATCCAAGGGTCCTCCTCTGGGGGCTCTGGGGAGACCTCCCCCTGTAGTGGTGCGGCCTGTTGTACAGTGGGCTTCTCCCTTGGGGCTGTGCCTGTTCTATGCGTGTTGCTGGGCCCACTGAACAGGGGTCTGGTGGTGGCTGCAGGGGTGGAGTTGAGCTTTAATGCAGATTTCCCAGGTGGATCTGAAGCCCCTAGCACTGGGGGCCCCACTTTGGAGATTGGCCTCTGAGGCTGTCTAGGCTTGCTCAACTTTTTCTCCATCCCTGCAGCTGGTTGGTAGATGACACAGAGGGTGACTTGACTGGGGTTCCCCAGGGACAAGTAGTATAGAACTCCCAACCCTGGGGCCTGCAGGTTGGGGAGACTGAGGGTGATCCTGTCCAGCTGGGCTGTGGCCTGGGGCTGCTCTTGGTGTGCAGCGGAGCTTTTGGAGAAAGAAGAGGAGCACAGGAACCTGCCCCATCCAGTGGCTGGAGATGGGGGCAGTCTGGGGCTTGCCTTGGTCTTACGGGGTGGCTGCCCCATGGTGGGACTGCTGCTGGATGTCCAGTGCTGAGTGCTAGGTGTTGTCCTTATGTGAGGGGGACCTGTGCCAGGTCCTGTGGCCACGGATAGTGCTCCTTAGTATATGTGTGTGAGGTGGGTGGGCTAGAGCCTGGGATGGGGGTCTGTATTCACCTACTGTGTGTCCCTGAGGTGAAGGTGCTCAGCCTGCCACTAACGACCTTCCTCTTCTGCTGCTGCTGCTGCCAAGTTCGAGGCCCCAGGGCCTTTCTCTGAGCAGGCCAGTCTGCTGGACCTGGACTTTGACCCTCTGCCACCCGTGGCAAGCCCCGTGAAGGCGCCCACGCCCTCTGGTCAGGTTGGTTGTGCCCACTACCACCCGCAGGCCCACCAACTTCCAGGGTCTGGGCTTATGTTTGCCCACCTGCTATGTGGCCACGTAGGCTGAAGGTTTTGGGGGTCCCAGATCACCAGGCCCTCTTCCCACTCACTGCCCTGCCCTTCACCTTGCTTTCTGACTCTCAGCCCTTGTCACTCCTTTAGGCGCAGGGCAGAAAACAGACCCAGACTAGCCATCAGACACCCCTCAGAAGAGGGCTGGTTAAATATTTCGTGCAACTTCTGGTTCATCTCAGCACCCTGCCTGTTCTGGCAGCCACTCCCTGACCTGGGGTGTGGTAGCTGCAGACCTAGCTCTTGTTCCTGCTGTACCCAAGCCCTGGGGTAGGGGGTCTCTGTGGACTGCTTGCTCTCCTGTCTCTAACCTCCGTGCTAACTCTGTCCTTCTCCCCCACTGCTGCGCTCAGTCAATTCCGTGGGACCTCTGGGAGGTAAGCTGTGTTTGCTCTGTATCCGGGGGAGCTGCGTCTCTGTGTGCCCAGGCCACTCACCCCCTACTCCTGTTCACAGGTGCACACACCTGGCACACTCACCCAAGCAGCACACACAGACACGTGCACACATGCACAGGGAGCCCACTGAGGCTGCTTCTGTAGCTGATCTACTGCTTCTCCTGGTCATCACCATGGGAAAGGGCCTCCTCAGTTTAACTGGAGATGAGGGTCCCCTCCATGATGTGACATAGCCCTCAGGGCCTGTGAGTGTTTGCCTGTGGACAAGAAGCCAGGTGGTCACCTAGGATGGACTGGGTTCTTTATGGTGGGCAGAGACCTGTGAGGCAGGAGGGCCTTGGAGTGGAGGGCTCTTTTTGGCAGTGGAAGAATGCAGAATGGCATCAGGGAGCCATTTGGTGGGTGAGGGCAGGGCTGTTGTCTTCCGAGATCAGTGACTATGGGCAGGTACAAGGCCAGCTCACTTGGGACAGGTGCCACCCATCAGCTTATAGCTCAGAGTGCTGAGGCCCAGGGAGCGCTTGGAATAGGCCCCATGGCTGGTGGTGGTTGAGCCAGAATTCCCAATGGGCTTGGTCCTTGAGACCTCCTGATGCAAGCTGAGGCCCTGGCAGGAGCAAGTGGATGTGGCATGTCATGCTCTGGGGGCATACACCCCAGTGCTGCTCCTGGGAATTCCAGTAGATCATTTTACTTGAGCAGCCAGTGACAACCTGGTTTGAACAGCAGGGCGAGTTTCATGTGTGGATTTCTGTGGATGCCGAACTGCAGGTTCCCATCCCACCTGACCATTGCCTTGGCAGAGGCAGAAATAAGGAAGGGAGAGAGAGGCGAGCCCTCGGGCTCTGGCTAGACTACCCGCCCCAGGCACCCACACCCTCCCGCCAACACTCTGGCCACTCATGACGGTCTTCTCTTGTCTCGTGCCCCTGCCCAACGTTTTTCCCACCTGGCCTCCCTGCTCCTCCCTTCCCCACCTGCCCCGTTCTCTCCTGGTGGCCTGTCACTAGCCCACAGAGAGTCCAGCTGGCAGCCTGCCATCCGGGGAGCCTGGTGCTGCTGAGGGCACATTTGCTGTGTCCTGGCCCAACCAGACGGCCGAGCAGGGGTCTGCCCAAGTAAGTGCCTGCCCACCCCCACCCCCTGTCCAGCTTGTCCCCATCTCTGGGGGTCTAGCATGGATGAAGAGGCCAGAGGAGGGGGTGCAGGATGGACCAGGCCACTGTGGGCCTGAGGGTGAGGATGGTGCCCTGAGCCAGGAGGGCCCTGGACAAGGTCACTAGGGGGTGTGGGTGTACATGGCTGGAGTCACATCTTGCCTCCCTCCCACTTGCCCACCCCAGTGCAGGGCCCCCTCTGAGTGGGGGAGGGAAGACCATTGTAGAGCACACTTACCAGTTTATACCAGGCACTTTCCAGAATTTTCTCACTTAATCTTCATTATGATCTTGTCAGCCACGCTTCTTCCTTTTCCAGGTGAGGAAGTGGAGGCTAAGGGAGGTCGAGTAACTTGGTTTCAGGGGTAGGAAGTGTCCGAGTCTGTGTTGGCCCAGGTCAGCCCAATTGCAGGGCCCTTGCTGGGGGCTGCTGGGGCATCCCTGACTGTGATGCAGTGTCCAGGGCTGGGAAAGGACCACCCTGCCTGCTGTGAGCTGCATTCCTGTGGGGACAGGAGCATAGATGCAGGCTTCTGCCTGGTCAGATGGGCCAGGCAGGGTGGACAGGAGGCAGCTGGGACTTGGTGATGTCTTAGAGGATAGGGCCTGCGAGGCATGGTTGGGGTGGCATCCTGGGTTCCTGCACTAGGCTTTTGCATGCACGTCACTTGGTGTTCCTGTGCCTGCCAGCACCTCTTCAGCATCTTCCTGTGTCTGGGGCCTGCCTGATCTGCAGGGGCTCCCAGATTATTCAAGGTCCTGGCAATGCTAGAACTGGAGACCAGCCAGGCCAATATCCCTGGCCTTCCCACTCAGGTGCTGCCCTCCCCTGGCCTGTTCCCTGTGTCCTGGTTGCAGCATCCTGTCCTGTGTCTGACCCCTTGACGGCATTTATGTTGCAGCCCGCAGAGGCCTTGGAGGTGGCAGGTGGGACCCAACCTGCGCCTGGAGCCCAGGAGCCTGGGGAGACGGCGGCAAGTGAAGCAGCCTCCGTAAGACGGCAGGGACCAAAGCCCTGCTTTTCTTTCCTGCTGTGTCCACCGTCTGTCTGTCTGTCCACCTGCCTGCCTGTCTGTGGCTCCCCTGTGCTACTTGCCAGTAGGCTGCGGTTCCCGTTGAGGAGTTTGGGGACAGGCTGGTCCGGCACCTGGCACAGACACCTCTCCTTCCCTCCCTGGTGGCCCTGGTTCTTCCTGCACCACCACCCTGATCAGCTAACTTGTCTCCTGTCCCCAGAGTTCTCTTCCGGCTGTGGTGGTGGAAACGTTCTCAGCAACTGTGAATGGCACCGTGGAAGGCAGCAGTGGGGCCGGCCGTTTGGACCTCCCTCCGGGCTTCATGTTCAAGGTGAGCCCAGGCTAGCAGACCCAGCCACTGTTCCACTGTGCCTGGGGCTGGGGCCATCCTCTCAGATTTGCTGTCATAGGATCCCTGCTATGCCACTCCAACCCACTAAGTGGCCTTGGAGCCCCGCATCACCATTTCACAGGGGTTCACGGTACAAAGCCTCTGCCCTGTGCTGGTCTGGAGGGGGACCACGGGGTTGCTGACATACTCTCCCGACCTCTAAAGGTGCAGGCTCAACACGATTACACGGCCACTGACACCGACGAGCTGCAGCTCAAGGCTGGTGACGTGGTGCTGGTGATCCCCTTTCAGAACCCGGAGGAACAGGTGAGTGGGTGCCGGGCTGCAGTGATGGAGACAGCCAGCAGAGGGTAGCAGAGGCTCGCTGTCTGGTGGTCCAGGACTCCGTGGGTTGCTCCTCCCCTTTCCCTAAAGCCCTTTACTCTCATCCTGATTTTTGTCCATCCTGTCCTCTCCCACTGGCCTCTTCTCCCTGCCCCTCTTCTCTCCATCTTTCAGCTCTTCAGTGTCCTCTTTTCCTTCAGCCTCCATTTCTTCCTCTTAGGCTCTGTCAGCTTTCTCTTTCCCCCTTCTCCCTCCTTACCTACCCCTGGCCCAGGCCACCTTCCTCCCCAAACAGGATCCCTCTTGCTCAGGTCCCTGCCTGCAGGTGTCCTCTGTGCAGTAGACGGAGCAATGGCTGAGCAGTGGCCCCTCTCTGGGATCACATCCACCCGGCTGTTGCCCTCGAGGCTGGCCCTGCTCTGTCCACGCCAGGCCACCATTTTCTCAGCTGTATTCACAGCTGGGTCTCATTCCAGATGCCTTCTGCGCCTGTGGCTTCTCCATATTAGTTCATCTCAGAGGACCCTCATGGGTTTGGACCAGCTGATTTGCTCAAATGGCTAAGGGCTCTCAGAAGGACTTCACTTTTGGTGCAAGGGAGCCTTTGTGGGGTGTTTGGTGGTGCCCATGGGGACGTCTGGCTTTTGCCCTTAGTTTCAGCACTGAGCACCTGCTGGCAGAGCATAAGGGACCTAGGTCTGAACCCACTGATTCTCCTAAGCCCCCACGTCTCCACTGACCTCTCTAGGGTGCCTGCCCTCACTGGGTGGGATTTCAAGAAGGAGACCCCTGAACCTCAACCACAGGAAGGTTTTGTTCAGGGGTGGCTGGAGTGGGCTCAGATAGGACATCAGAGTTACATGGGACAAGGCAGATAACAACACAAAGGTAAATCACAAAGATCCAGGAAGTTCCCAGGCCTAGTCCAGCCGCAGGGGCAGCATGGCCCAGCTGTGGGCAGGGATGGACAGTCACTCAGTTCCAGGGTAAGCCCTGGGCAGAAGACCCCTGCTAGGGGTCAGCCCTGAAGCAAAGGGCAAGTTGGAAGTGAAGCGCTTGACAGGATGGACTGGGGACCTTCTAGTAGCTTTTAACTGGTGAGTGCTTCTAGATCTTTCCAGTACTGTATATAGAAATCTGAAACCTGGAAGGAGTGCTGCTGTCCTCCTCAGTGGGCACTGGGTGGTATGAAGCCCTGGGACTGGGGCTGGGGGTGTTGTTTGGCATGATTACATCAGTGCAGTGGTCAGGCTGTCTTAGAAAAGAGCAGCTCACCCAAACCAGGCGTAGGTTTGACCCTAAACCCACCCATTGAGGGCAGGCTGGCTCCTGCGGGGTAGGTATAGGTCTCAGGAAGAGGCATCAGGAGGCATTTTCAAGGTGGGCTGGGCAGGCTGAGAGGCAAAGAGCAGGAAGAGGGACCATCTTCCCAAGAGATTCCAGGGAACCCTGTTTGGTTCTGTGCCCTCTGTCCCTCATCCCTGTGTGACGTGGGTGCTCTCCTTGCACCAGGATGAAGGCTGGCTCATGGGCGTAAAGGAGAGTGACTGGAACCAGCACAAGGAGTTGGAAAAATGCCGGGGCGTCTTCCCTGAGAACTTCACGGAACGGGTGCAGTGACATGACAGCGGAGCTCCTGCAGTCCTCTGGGCGTGTGAAGAACACCTTTCCCCCCTAAAAAAAAATGTGTGTTTTTTTCTTTTTTTTTTTCTTCTTCTCTTTCTTCGTTTTCGTTTTTAAACTTTTGAAAAAGCAAAGGGAAACTGAGACGAGAGACCTAAGCCGAAAGGTATTCTCCCAAAGATTAGGTTGTTCTCCCCCAAAAGCCCAATCCTGGCCAGTCTGGTAGAATTCACCAGTGTTTCTGAAGCTGCTGTGGTCCCTAGTTGAGTTCCTGGCATCCTTCTCTGTGCCCGCATGTGTGCCCGGCTGCAGGGCGGGCTGGGGGCCGCCAAGTCACCGCCACGCTTGCCTGAAGCTTCAGCCGCGCCACCTGGGCAAGGGTCTTCTTTACCTGGCAGCTGCTGTGGGTGGGCGCAGACACCAGCCCTGCCTGGCCCTGCCCCGCAGACCATCCGTGTGCTGTTTGAAAATAAACCTTAGTGTTCAAACAAAACGAAACAAAGAAACAACAACAACAAAAACTGACAAAACACTAAAAAAATAATAATAATAATAAATAAAGCCTGTGTGTTTATTTTGCCACCCCTGCCCATCATCTGTATCAGGACTCCAGGAGTCCACACAGGAGAAAACCGGGACCCTGCTGGTGAAAGGGGGTCCGAGTGCTTTGTCCAGAGTCTGGTGGACTAGGAAGGGGCCTGGGCGCTGGCCCACCTTCACCCTCCTCTTGCGGCCCCTACTGAGTGCAGCCCCAGCTCCTCTGCTCCATCGGTGATGTGGGCCGGTCTGAGCAGCCCACGATGACACGCAGCGGTGGCCTGGGCCTTCCCAGGAGCTAAGGGAGATTATGCCTGTGGCCCAGGAACCAGCCTGGACTTGCAGATGGGAAGAACTTGTCTTCCCATAAATTTGCACTGATAGTAAAAGGAGGTGACTGTGAGAAGACTCTGAGCTTTACTTTAGAGTAAAATCTCTCAACTTTGCTTTAGGTGGCACAAGTGTCCTTGCTGTTGGCCCTGACGGGTCCTGTGGGTGACAGATAGTGCTGAATCTGCCATCCATAACTTTCAGGAGCAGTAGAAGTTACAGCAGCAGCAAACAGAGGGTTGATTTCTAGATATCTCTCTTTTGAAAGATTTTGCTTTTTGTGTCTCTCTGCCTCCTTTCCTCTGTCCCTCCTTCCCTCTTTCCTTGTTGACAGCCCTTTTCCCTTGGAGGAGCTGGATTTGGTGCCCAGACCTGGCCAGTTCCACTGCTTCTGAATCTGGGGTGTGTGTGTGCCCTGGGCTGTATGTATGTATGAGGAGTTGTGCAGCCAGGGTGGCAACAGGAGAAATCTTCACTTTTATCTCAGTGTGAATATTGAAAACGTAGTCATTGGAAACACCTAGCAAAAAGAATTTCCATTAAGTTTACCACAATATGAGATTCAAAGAGAGGTCAGATGGGACTTTGTTGCCCCTGACCCTCAAGGCAGTTCTGACCCTTGCAATTGGGATAGTTTGGCAGGACAAGCCATGCTTGGTACCCCACTGTGGGGATCTGCAGGGGGCTCCAGAGGGGAGCCGGTAGGTCTCCAGAGACAGTGCCCGGAGCAAGCATGCAGGGTGCGAGGGCCACACTCATGGCTCCCCCTGAGCTTTAGCTGGTCTGTGTTGGACAGCTGAGGTGGCACTAGGCTCCTGTCAGGGAAATTCAGAGCCAGGTGGCCTGGACCAGAGGTTAGGGAGGTGACCAGCTGGGCAGAGAACTGAGCTGAAGCCAGGACGGAATGAGGCACAAAAGGCAGGAGCCTGTGAGCCAGTTTCTACACCTGGCACCTGGGCATGCATGGCCCTGGCATGTTTGCCAAAACCTGGCTTGATTTGTGTTGATCAGAGGGCAAGGAGGCCTGATCCCTGGGCAGGGCTCCTGGCTTTCACAGGGGGCAGGCCAGGGTGGGTTCTGGGCCCTGCATGGAGGCTGGAGGTTCTGGCAGACCCTGTGCTTTGGAGGGCCAGGCTAGGGGTTTGGAAGGAGCCCAGTCCTCTGCTCTGGCTCCCCTTTGTCCTCCGGGGGCCAGGAGAGTGGTGGGGAAGATAGTGATGGTGCAGAGCCGGGCCTGGATGGAGCAAGGCCTAGGCAGGTGGGTCAATTGTGTGTGGGTGCCTGCAGTACTTCAGGTGCCTCGGGGTGCTGGTGGGGGGACAGGACCCACCTGGAGGCAGTCATAAAGCTTTCTGGCAAGCGTGGGCCTCTCTGGGAATCTGTGAACGTCTTTAGAAAATTGATTGACTTATTTATTACTTCTCTATGTTATGAACCAAGTTGCTGACAGGAAGCAGGATTTTAGCCCATGGGACTTGGCAGCTGGAATCATGACACTTTAGGGCTGGGGATGTGGCTTGGGAGTAGCATGCTTGCCTAGCATGCATGAGGGCCTGGGATCGATCCCCAGTACTGCCAAAATACATGTATATAACTACATATCTTATCAGTGCGAATGGCCCAACTGACCCCATGGTCAAGGCCATGGGCTCTGCACAAAGGGCCCCTGGGGTGTCTCAGAAGTCTCCATCCCAGTTCAGGGAACTCTTCCTGGTCTCTTTGCCCTCCTGCCAGCTCCCAAGGCATCCATAGTGGCTAGGACACCTCCCCAGGGACACCCTATGGCCTCCTGCTTCCCGTCCTTGGTTGGATTTGGTAACCATGTTGGGATGACTATTTGGTTCTTCTGCCCTGGAGACCTTTGGCCCTGCCTCTGGGAATTAAAAAAAAACCATACCCAACCCCAAAACCAGGCTCCCTGAAGGGACATTGTGAAGGGAGGCCAAACATGGGGTTCCTTTGCTCAGAAGCCTTGGCTGGGCCCCCTTGTGTCCAGGTGTGCGGGCACTTAGGTGACATTCCCATGACACTCCTGGTTCCCCGTCCTCTAGCGTCAGCTTCGTCTTTGGACCGGTCTCCAGTGGTTCTGGTTTGATGTCGGCACACTTCCTTCCCAGAAGCCCCCAGTAAATCTTGTGTCATTGGCCTGATCTGTGTCAGGTCCCCAGTCCTGAACCAATGGCGGTGGCTGGATATGGGACCTGTGGACAGGCCCAAGACAAATAGGGCCTGAAGCTGCAAGTGGGCAGGTTAGCTGAGGCAAGGAGAAGGGCAGTGGATTCTAGGAGCTCAGACCCTGCATGTCCACTCCACAGTGGTCTCCAGAAAGGGCATGAAACCAGGAAACTTAAGTGGACATAAACTATGAATAGGTGTGTATGTGAGTGTGTGTGTCCCTGTGTGTGTGTGTGCAGTGTGACATGCTCTTGGACTTCCCAGCCTCCAGAGTCAAAGCCAAAATAAACCTCTTTATAAACCACCCACTTCCACATATTTGACTGAGACACAGGATTTCCAGGGGCCTGGGACATTGGGGCCAGTCTCAGGCAGGGAGCAGCAAGTGTCACAGGCAAGTTGGGGACACGGGGTTGGCTGAGTTGGAGAAACCTGTGGAGTCCAAGCTCTTCCTGAGGAGCCTGAATCTCAGGAGAGAAAGAGGCCAGGGAAGAGAGGAGTGGACCCAGCCTAACGGGGAGTAGGAAGGAGGCTCAGGGAAGAGCCATTAAGAGACGGAAGATGTGTTGAGGGCATCTTTGAGGAAGATGATAAGGGACTGCTGAATTCCTTCCCTTAGGAAGACCTTTGGCCAAGGGGACAGGGATACAGTCAAGATGGCAGCATTGCCAGCCTGCTCTTGGGTCTTTGGGGCTCCGTGGGCAGGGACTGCTATGGGCAGGGACAGGCAGGCTGCCGCTATGAGACTGCAGGCCCTGACTCTGACAACGCAGGAGAGCAGACCACTGAGGGAAGGCCCTTCTCAGAGTAATTAAAAAGGATAATTAATGAGGCCAAAGGAAGGTGCCTTCCCGACAGCCCCTGATTACAGAGGAAGATCCAGGCTGGTGGAGGGAGAAGGGGAGACAGGACATTTTTCCTTCTCCCAAACAGCCAAGGTCAAGGATGGCTGTGGAGTCTTGATAAAGGCCAGGCTTTGACCCCTAGGGTGGGTGGAGACTAAAAGGCCCTGCTGTCCTCCCTGCCAGTCAACCCTAGGCATTTATTTCATGTCCCCATTGTGCCCTTCCCATGTGACCTGCCAGGGGGTGGGTGGGCAGGAGCCACAGCTTTGCCTTGAAGGTGATAAGCTTATGGTGGGCCAAGGTTCACCGAGAGAGACCATCTCAGCGTTCTTCCTTCTGGGAGCTTGATAACATCACCACGTTCTTATTTTGGTAGATCAAGAGGACACACAGTTTCCATAGAGCAGTCTTGTAATGGGCTGAGAACTTTCTGGAAGGTCATCTTCCATTATGAGCTGATGACCCACATCTGTACCTTCGGGGCAATGTTTCTACCCATCTTCAGCGATGGGCATCTTCCCTTATGCCACGGGCACCTCAAACTTTAGGTCTGTTAAACCTGTATCATTCCCTGGACTCTTCCTCTGCTCTTGGGGCAGATGCTGCTCAGTGCTCAGCCAGTACTCATTCCCTCCACCTTCCTAACTGAACTATGATGTTGTCTAAGGAACCAGTATACTTCCCTAAAACCTCATTATTCTAGATTTCCTTGCAGCTATCAGTAGCTTTATAATCGGGCCAATGAGATGATTGACATCCCTTCCCTAGTAAGAAGTCAAAACTTTGCTAAGAGAATGGCTTTCACCTCCTTTTCCTGCCTGGGAGAAAGGGCTGGAGGTGCAGCAGCCATTTTGTGGTGCAAGCACATACCTCTGCAGATGGCCATAAAAACAACTCACAGAGGATGGCAGAGGGCAAAGGTGGAGGCATTCAGAATGTCTAGTCCAACCTGGTCGTCTGTCCTTCTGACATATTTGTGTGAAACAAACAATCTGTTACTTGAGGCCTTCCTGAATACTCCCTTGTCCTTTCCTCATGTCCTCTGATTTGACTTCCTAGAGAATTCTGCATCTGCCTCACCACCCTGACCCAGGCTTGCCATCCATTTCCTGTGCACCCACTGGGGTCCTGCTGCCAGGGTGATTCCTCTGAAACTTATTTCTGACCTTAGCATGCCTGGGTTTGAACCCTCCAATAGTCCCCATTTCCCACACAAGTCCAGACCCCTTAATGAATCCTTCCTGTTCTGGCCCCTAGGCACACATTTTCTGCCCCCCTCTGCCTGGCATGGCCTGTCCCAATAACACTGCTGAGCCTCATGCCTCTTCTCACTGTAACTTTTCTCTCCTATGCTGTGGCTGAGCAGGCCTCAGGGATGTTCCCTCTATCTCTCCCAGGTGACTCCTACTTCCTTGTAGGACACAGGGCCCCGTGGGGAATGGCTTCCTCTTTAGCGCTCACCTGTCCAGGAGACATTTACGCACTGCATGCACCATGTTTGAGCCTCCTGCCCCTCCTGCCTGGATGCTGACTCCCTGTGCAGCCCCAGCCCTGGCCAGAGTCTCAGTGAGCAAATAAATGCTGGGCTTTGCTCGGATGGGTCCCTGCCATAGGCTCACCCTCCACTTTCTGCAGAAGCCACAGGGCACTGTACACTAAAACCTGGAAAAACGA